GTCAATGGAGATGGGAAGTAATGGAGATGGGAAGCAATGGAGATGGAGAAGGAGATGAGTGCAGAAGGGCCAAAAAGAAGGAGGGGAGGGACATTAAGAGAGGGCGGGAGATTAATAAAATGACGTCGTTTTGGGTTAGGACTCCAAATTTTTTTTGGGAGTCAGGACTGATGGCCACTTTACCGTATATATATATATATATATCACCATAAGACAAATGCAATAAAAATAGGAAAATGGATCGATTTCTATGAAAAAAAATAAAGATGGTACTGGGGCTTACAGTGGAAAACCCAAATGTAGGAAAATGGCAAAGTGTGGTTTGGGCGGTCCTCGGCGGTTGTCGATGGTCGTCGTCTGGCCCAGATCTGCAAGAAGACAAGGAACGAGAAGGGATTAAAAATTAAAACTTTCACCAACTCACACTACCGACCAACAATCATCATTCATCACCACCAAATTAGTAGCAGAAACACCAAAAAAGGAAAAAAAATTAGAGAAAGGGAAGGAGACTCACAAAAGAGGAAGGAGGAGAAATGGGATTTTGGCACTGACTGACGGTGGGGATTTTTTAGTGAGGAGAAATGGGAAGAAGGCCGGTGATTGACGATGCTTATATTTTCGGTCTGCTTTGGAAGAAGATGGGCAGTAGAAGGGGCCGCGGAGGGTGGCCGCACCGAGAGCAACAACAACTAAACTCCTCGTAACAAGTTAAGTTCAAGCGCGTGCAGCGTCGGACTAGAGCGTGGTGGGGGGAGAGGGATGAGTGGTTCCACACTTGGGAGTGTAGCGGCAGCATAGGAGGATGCGAGCAGGCTTGGAAGAAGATGGGCAAGAAGGGAGGGAGAAAAACGTAGATCCGTTGATAAAATGAACCCTTATATTGTGGTTTTTTTTATAAATAAAAAGAAGTGTGAGGATAAAATAGAAATACCATATCAATTTCATTAATTCTGAAGCGAGAAGCTCCCGTGGAAGCACAAAATTGGTGCTTCTGGGATTTCCAAAGGAATGAGGAGAAGATGTGCTTTTAGGAAGTTGCAACACGTTTGAGAAGTTATGATGTTCAGTGCAGTTTGTTCTTTTAGAATTAAAAAAACCCTTTTCACAATCTGCACCAAACATGCTTCGCATCGTGCCAACAACTCTCTGTTGGTGTTGACAACACTCCGGTAGTGTCGACATCAAACCAGGTTTTTGGATTTTTTTGCAATTCTATAATGGTAGAATAGCAATTTGGTCTTCTACATTATAAGCAATGAACATTTTAGTCCTACAATTTCAAATTCATTCATTTAAAAAAGCAACCTTTCTTCTCACAATATAGTCCCTTAACTTATAAAATATATTCAATTAAGTCTAAAAACTTCTATTATTATGCATTCAAGGTTTTTTACACAAAAATGAAAATTATGTAAAATCTCTTACAAATCACCTGCCACTAGTCTAACAAATTTTCAAGTTAAGATTCATAAACACTCAAAAACTCAAACTTAAGTTGTTAATAATTATTGACGTTTACACTTATATACTAATAACACTCACAGTTTCATTTCAATGTAAGATTCAAAGTGTTGCACAAATAGCAACAAAATCAAGGATAAAATAAGAGATTAAAGCATATAAAATGCTTATCATCAATAGATATAATTTATATGCTATTCAAAAATAATTATATATCTAATTAATTTAAAATTTAATATGAATGATATACATGGTATATGCATAAATTTAATGACTAATTGAAAATTTGATATAAATCATACCAAATAAATTGATGAATGACTCACAAAAAATTTTAAAATTTTACCTATTTAACATAAATTTCTGACTCTGTCCCCTATTAATCCAGTCCTCTACCGTTGGTTGTTATAGACATGCCAAAATGGTGTTGCAGGCCTCTTTGGCCCACGCACCACGAAGTATCTCTTTATTTTATTTGATTTTATTTTACTTTATTTTTATTTTTTTAGTTTCATCATTCAATATGAATCTTAGTTTAGGAAAAAAAATAAAATAAAATAAAATACGAAAGTTATTTTAAAACAGAGGAAATATAATATAGTACTTGATTAAAAGTTATAACTCCTGCATGTCTTATGATCCTTAGGTGGACAGAAATTAAAACACCATAATTGGCAATTCTCTTTTGTGAATATAGAAGAATTTCCATTTTTGCTCCAGAAGCTCGAGGGCAAGAAATCTTCTTGGTATATATCGTCTTCCCCTGCATACCAACTTGGTACCAACATTCAAGCATAAGGAGCGAAAGTCTTTAAAAGACTTCTTGATTGTACACTCTGTAACTCTGTAGCCCTCGCAATGTCTGCATTTACGAAATCAAAATACATTTAATTAGAAAAATAAAAATAAAAATTGATAAGGTTAAAAGAATGATATTTTGCAGTTAAGTTTGCACGGAGATGCAATGTGATGACCTTTCAATGGGTGGGACTCCTGCTAGATCCTACTTATTCAAGAGCTGAAATTTGGCGCAAGCTTAATTACAAAAACTCCTTTTTAAAAATTATTCAAAGAAACTGCTGATTATATCGTTCTTTTGAGGACGCAAGTGCTGATTTTACAGAATATGATTGCGCCAAAGTAACCCATGCTATACTCCCGCTCGAACGACCTAAAGGGTACCTGTACCCGCAACCGACACAGGTGGGTAGGTAGAGAATACCTAGGGGCGCCAGACAACTCTCTAAAAGGAACTCGGCATGATCCTTTTAAAGTTTCCCCGTCCGGATTGACTTAGGAGGTTTATTCAGAACTACGAATGGGATTCGTTCAAGGCAGCCGCGAGGGACTTTGAGGGCATTCTTCCACTAAGAGCAATGAGTGAAATAAGCTTACTAATAAAGGTGTCAGTGAAATAAGTTCCTTCCTTTAATAAATTCCTTCATGTGGTAAGCCAAACCATTTTATCTTCTTTTATTTTTTTGCATCTAGAATGCTTTAAGCGGGACAATCATGGTGCCAAAGAAGGTGGTGCGCCTTCAGAGGTGGAGCCAATTAGCCGCTTTCCTTGTTGCCATGTACTTGGTATCCAGGGATGGGACCTTCCGCCCAATTCTTTTCTCACTTAGATGTTGAGATTTATTTATTTATTTATTATATTTATTAAAAATAATTATTGTTTTATTTAAGAACTTACAAATAATCTGAATTATTAAAAATAAAAAAATAAATTTTCAATATTTTATATA